GCGTCTCTTCCCCTTCTTTCCCCTTCTTCTCCTCGCCTCCTCCTCCTCCTCCTCCTCCTGCCTTCCTCCTCCTCCTCCTCCTCCCCTGTCCCTCCTCTTCTTCCCCTTCTTCCCTTCTTTCTTCCCCTGTCTTCCCACTTCTTTCTTCTCTCCTCCTCCTCCTTCCTCCTCTCCTCCTCCTCTTCCTCTCCTCCTCCTCTTCCTCCTCCTCTTCCTCTTCCTCCTCTTTTCCTCCTCTTGCCTCCTCCTCCCCTCCTCTTCCTCCTCCTCCGCTTGCTCCTCCTTCTTCTCCTCCCCTCCTCGCTTCCTCTCTCCCTTCTTCCTTCCTGCCTCCCCTTCTCCCTCTTCCTCCTCCCCTCACCTCCGTTTCTTCTCTTCTTCTTCTTCTGTCTTCTTCTTCTCTCTTCTTACGGCTCCTCTGTCCCCCTTCCGCCTCCTCCTTTTCGTTCTTCTTCCCCTTGCTTTTCCTCCTCCTCCTCCTCCTCCCCTCCCGCCTCTGCCTCCTCCTCCTTCCTCCTCCTGCCTCCTCCAGGGACTCTGGAGACAGGTGATCTGGTGTGTTAGTCGCTGATCATCTGCAATGGAGTTTCCCCAACAGGGGGTAAAACAGATCGGCCTTTTTAAAGGCGTTAAAATGTCGTTGATATGTATATTTTCATCTGGCACTCATTCAAAGTGAACGTTCTGCTTTAGGAACTAGGAGATGTCCGATACCATTTTCCTTCCTGATTCTGGATTCCGGTGTTGGTGGTATAATATCGTTACTCGCGCCTGTTGATGACTGGAAGAACATGAGTTAAGTACAGCAAATTCAAAGACATTTATTTTTAAATTAAAAACGTATAAAAAGGCTTCCAGGAGTTTGCTGCTGCGTCTCCGGTCTTTTTCCGCGGTCGTTGTTCTTTAGGCTGACGGTTTCTTCAGTGTTTCATTAAACTAACTTTGTGGTTTAAAATGGATCTCGGTTGCCACCTGCTCTGAGATTGTATCTCTGCACACGTTTACAGCTCGCAGTCTTACTGGTGGAGATTCCACTGTTGAAATATTACCACAGTTGCTGGGCTTATCTTAGCTCCAAGCCTCGCCGTCAGCCGGCTCTGGACACACGTGAAGTCTGTTGGTGTCTGTTTCAACAGTGATCGATTTCCTTCCTCGTCTCTTAAAAAACAGGCAGCTGCAGGTTGGTTTTAAAGAGCCTTGACGGGATGCTAACCAGTAAATAGATTACTGCATTTTTAATAAATGACGTGGCTATCGGATCGGTGCTGGACTCCGATAATCGCCGATACCGATGGCCGGCGAGGTATCGGTATCGCGAGGGACATTTCCAATAATATCGGAACTCAGAATAGCGAACAAAGTGTTTTTAAAGGAACTCTGTCTAACTGTTAAATGTGTGTTACACGGAGGTTGAAGGGAATTAAAAGAGCGTAAACCGCTGTTTAGGGTCTCCACCCGTCCCAGCCGCCCCTCCGCTGTAATGGCAGGTTGGTCTCCACCCGTCCAGCCGCCCCGCGGTGGTTAATGCCAGTGGTCGTCCAGCCCGGTCCCAGCCGCCCCGCGCGTGTTAAGATGCGTGGTCTTCCACCCGCTCCAGGCCGCCCCGCGGCTGCTAAAGTTGCAGTGTCTCCACCCGGTTCCCAGCCGCCCCGCGGGTGTAAGATTGCAGTGTCTCCACCCGTCCCAGCCGCCCCGCGGTGTAAATGCAGGTGCTTCTCCACCCGTCCCAGCCGCCCCGCCCGCGGTGTAAATGCAGTGTCTCTGTTTCAGGAACACCGTGACGCCCGGAGGGAAGCCCAATAAGACCCGGGTGATCTGGGGGAAGGTGACCCGAGCTCACGGCAGCAGCGGGATGGTCCGAGCAAAGTTCAGCAGCAACCTGCCGGCAAAGGCCATCGGACACAGAGTCCGCGTGGTGAGTCCAGAACCAGAACCAGGACCAGAACCAGCTACAGGAAGGACTAATGTTAATGATGTCAATAACTGATCACTTCACAGATATTCAACAGCCCGAACTACTGATCAATAATCAATAATGCTGCACTGTCAGACAGTCGGGTAGACTGTCACCAATAATACTGATCAAGCTTCCCATCAGGATCAATAACAGTGTCAGAGAGAATTCTGGGTATTTTAACCTGCTTCGTAGTCCAGGACTCATCTTATTGATCAGTTATTGATCAGTGAACACTTATCAGTCTCTTACTGACTGAATAATCAATAGTGTAAATATTGAGAGTAAATCAGTCAGTTCAGATCAATTATTGTAAACACCAACAGCTGATTGATAACTGTTAAACTCCCAATAACTGACTTTATTGTGGCGGTCTCACTGACTTCCTGTCTGTTTCAGATGCTTTATTGTGGCGGTCTCACTGACTTCCTGTCTGTTTCAGATGCTTTATTGTGGCGGTCTCACCTGAGCTTCCTGGTCTGTTTCAGATGCTTTATTGTGGCGCGGTCCTCACTTGACTTCCTGTCTGTTTCAGATGCTTTATTGTTGGCGGTCTCACTGACTTCCTGGTCTGTTCAGATGCTTTATTGTTTGCGGTCTCACTGACTTCCTGTCTGTTTCAGGATGCTTGTATGTGGTGGCGTCTCACTGACTTCCTGTCTGTTTCAGATGCTGTATCCATCTCGGGTGTGAGAGGAATCTTCTGCAGCTGATGTTTGTTTGTTTGTACATAAACAATAAATCTGATCAGGTCCAAACTGTGTCTGTGTGTCTTTATTGATAATCAATACTGTCAGTGTGATCAATACTCAACAGTGACAGGGAACTTTGCAGCAAAGCATTTTGGGAGACATTCTCTAAAGCTCCATCCAGCTGTGGGACTCGAACCTGTGACTCCGCAGTCTGATCTATAGCTGAGTACACTGGCTTTACCTGACCTCTGCACAGCAGTCAGGTCCTCTGCTGTAAAGCAGCGAGTCGGTTCTTCTGACTTTTATTTTGAAGTAATGTTTGAGGCTTTAATCTTGTTTTTTATTGATCGATGTGTCACAGTGCTATATATTTATTTATATATGTGACTGAAACTCACACCAGCAGATATTGATTATGTTTTCACTACAGTGCTGTTACATATTTATATATTTATAAATGTAAAGTTCAGTTGGACACCAACAGATATTGATCTGTGCTGATCAATCGTACTTCAGTATTTTATTGAATCAAACATTAACATTATTAACTGACGGTAGAAGAATAAAGAGGATCAATAATCACTGATCAGCCTGTCAGTTTGAACTCGGGGATCAGAGACACCGTCACATGACGTCGGCACTGACGTCAGTAGCGGGGATGCGGGAGGTCTGTCGTCACGCAGGACTCTGTTTCCCATGATCCTCCGCGCTGCTCTCTGAGACTGCACGAGCTGTTTACGGAGGACGGCGGACCTGAAGGAGGACAGGCAGGACGAGAGCCTGTCCCAGCGCGGACAGACAGACAGACAGGCAGACAGACAGGCAGGCAGAGAGACAGACAGGTGAGCGGGTCACCGACCATCAGCTGATTGTTGTTTTTATTTGGACCGTTTCCGGTCTGATGCTCAGAGCGCGAGGTCAGTTTGTTTTATAACGGCAGCATCCCGGGCTTTTATTCTGAAGGGCCCTTTATTCTGGAGCATGCTTTTAATCTGAAGGGTCGTGCTGCTTTTATATCTGATATATTCAAAAACTACTACAAAATAAAATACTGCACTATTTCTGTAGTACTCACAAGTGAGATACTATTTATTTACTTATTTTAGTGTTATTATTGTTTACTATTGTATTATTATTGTTTACTATTGTATTATTATTGTTTATTGTAGTATTATTGTTTACTGTTGTATTATTATTGTTTATTGTAGTATTATTACTGTTTACTGTAGTATTATTGTTTACTGTTGTATTATTATTGTTTACTGTAGTATTATTGTTTACTGTAGTATTATTATTTACTATTGTATTATTATTGTTTATTGTAGTATTATTACTGTTTACTGTAATATTATTGTTTACTATTGTATTATTATTGTTTACTGTAGTGTTATTATTTACTATTGTATTATTATTGTTTATTGTAGTATTATTATTGTTTACTATTGTATTATTGTTTATTGTAGTATTA